TCTTCCTTACCTATTTCATAGGGTTGTTGTAGGTCAAGTATGATAACAGATTTGAAAATGCCTTGGAAAAAGTTAGTAACAATGACAGTGACCATGGTGACAGTGGCTGCTGTTGTTTCATGTGTGATGGACTAGGGCCTGCACTGTGGTCTTTCTGTGTTCCCTCTCTCAATATTTGCAGTGTTCTTGAGGATGGATAATACTGTCTCTATTTAAAAATGAAGATAGTGTTGGGTGTCTGACTTCGGCTCAGGTTGTGATCTCTTGGTTCATGGGTTCAAGCCCTGCATCGGGCTCTGTGCTGGCAGCGCAGAGCCTGCTTAGGATTCTCTGCCTCCCTTTCTCTGCCCCTCCTCCACTTGTGTGCTCTCTCTCTCTCTCTCTTTCTCTTAAAAATAAATAAATAAACATGAAAGAAATGAGGACACTTTTAAAAAGAAGGTAGGTATAAATAAGGTATTTGAGGGTTTCAAAAGGGAAGGAGTAGTTGCTTCTGGCTGGGATTCAGTAAACCCTTCCTGGACAAGGTTATATTTTGGCTGAGACTCACAGATTTTTGGAAAATTTTGCTTTGCCAGCACAGAAATGCCTTTTATGTATCATCCATTTAATTACAAAATAATCTTTGTTTGTAAAACCAGTATCTCTTATGCCCAGATTTAAAGCTTGTTTCAAATTCACCATTTGTCCTAGGTTGCTTTTTGCTTTTTTATCTCTCACACAAAGAGGAAATTACACTGCCTTATTTTCTTGAGGGAGGGTAGGCTGCTGGTGTGTCCCTAAAACTGTATTGGACAGTGTTCCATATGAGAGACTTGAGAGTGCTTCTTGGAGAACATTGGAGCCCCGTAGTACATCCAGGATGGCACTGATCACCATCTTCTCCAAGCCTGTATGTAAGTCACCAAGCCTGTTGGAGTGCACCAGGATTTGGGTGACAGTCAGTGCTGTTATGCTGCAGTGCACAAGAGTGATCGTCAATAGCATCTGGCATGTTTGTTCTACATTGCAGTGCACCAGGGTTCTGTTGGTGGTCCCATAAGGCATGTTTTTTCTATTTTGTCTATACTGCAGTGTACCGTGGCTGTGGTAATAGTGATACCGTGCAACACGTTTTTATTCCATCCACAGTACACCAGGGCTGTGGTGGTAGTACCATTGAGTGTGTTTACTCTTGGGGTGGCTCAGTTGGTTGAGCATCCTACTCTTGATTGTGGCTCAGGTCATGATACCAGGGTTGTAGGATTGAACCTTGCATCAGGCTGCACACTGAGCATGGAAGCTGCTTAATTCTCTCTCTCCCTCTGCCCCTCTCCTCCACTCATGCACTCTTTCTCTCTCTAAAATAAAAGTGGGTATATATATATATATGTATATATATATATATATATACATATATATATATATATATATGTTTATTCTGTGCTGCAGCTCACGGGCTGTGGTGATAGCCAATACCGTGAAACATGTTTATTTTACAAGTCATTTAGTGCTCCAAATCTTCAGCAGAAATCATAGTTTTAGGAATATTGGCAGGATTTATCATAAAAATCTTCAAAGAGAGTGTGGTTAGTAGCAATATGATTCATCTCAGATATGTAAGTATTCCTGGGGGTAATAACTGTGTGTTTCTGTAATGTCTTGCCTTTATAAAATCTGTTGGAGGTTTATAGGGACTATAGAGTTTGGCAGACTACTGAAAACCTATCTCACTTTTAGAGCCACACAAGACAATAATTAGTGCCTGAGGAGAAAACTCAGGTTGCTCAGGCGAGCCACTGAGCGTGGCTGGAGGGTGCCATGGCAGACACTCAGCCACACAGAGCCAGGCCACCTGATCTCATGGGCCCTGGAGCTCCAAATAGCAACTGTTGTCAGTGGTTGATGGGGTAGGTGCCACGCGTGCTGCACAGTTTTGGAGGATGAGCTCTGAGCACAGGTCCAAGTTTTAAAAATTCTTAAAATACGTCCACAAATGCTCCTGTGATTAATGCAGCCCCTAAACTTAGGGCATTTCCCTTTGCTGCTGAAGACCCTAATTCTCCAACCAGTGATCTGGCTGCCCTGCATGGGAAAGATGGTGTGTGCACCAGAGCGATGTCTTATGTTATCCTGAATTGTTTTCCTGCTCACCAACTGAGGATGAGCTACGTTTTACTAAAGAAACAACTATCATGGTAGAGGAGGTGCAATGCTTACTTCCTACTTAGTGCCTTTCTGTAATACTTGTTTTCATTACTCCACTTCCCTCCCCCATAGTGACTAGTACCAGCCTGACATTGTGCTTGTTCACATCCTTCCCCCATTCTGTTTCCTTCCTTACCTTAAGAAATAGTAGCAAGATAGGTACATACCTGAGGAAACAGTAGTTGAAGGCAGTGCTCTGGAGCAGTGATGTGGCCTTGCTTAATATGCGAACACATGTTACTGACACTTAGAGAAAGGAAGGAATGGAAAATTAGGGATGAGTGGAAAATGAAGAAAAATGAAGAGGAAAAAGAAATGGAAATGAAATTAAATTATATAACTAAAACTTTGATGTTATTTAAATATTAATTTTCATTATTCACTGTTAACCAGTTGGCTAAAGTGGTAAAGAAATTAATATCAGTATCTATTATATAATTAGCAAGGTACTATGTTAGATACTTAGCTTTTGTTATTTCATTTAATTTTTTTTAATTAAAAAACAGAAAATAGAAAAACGTAAGTGTACTCACCACCTAGAATTAATAACGTGTTTTAATCTTTGGTCTTTTTTTGATTCACATTAAAAAATTTTTTTATGTTTTTATTTCATTTTTGAGAGAGAGAGGCAAAGTGCAAGTGGGGCAGGGGCAGAGAGAGGGAGACACAGAATCCGAAGCCGGCTCCAGGCTCTGAGCTGTCGGCACAGACCCTAATGCGGGGCTGGAACTCACGGACTGTGAGATCATTACCTGAGCCAAAGTCGGACGCTTAACCAACTGAGCCACCCAGGCGCCCCCATATTTTTTAATAATAGAAACAATATGAAGTGTGAAATGCTCTTCTTTCTCCTTAGGTATGTGTTTCTATGTATCCTGCTGGCCATATTTATATACTCGTGTTACATATATATCTACAACAATAATTTATTGTTTTCTATGTTTCAAAAAATAATAACATTATGCGTATCATGCTCTGAATATCTTGTTTATCCCCTCTCGTTTGTGAGATCTCTACATGCTGATACATAGACATCTGGCCCACTAGTGTTAAGTTCTGTATGGTGTTCTGTTGTATGAACACAGCATGGTTTACCCTTCCTCCTGTTGATTTGTGTTCGGTACACTTTTCTGCTCTTATAAATAGTCCTGAGGTATGCATCCTTGTTTAGGTCTCCTGGTGCTTGTGGCAGTTTCTGGGACACATCTGGGTTTTAGGTTACATACACTGTCAACCTCAGTTCTCTCGCTGAATTCTTAAAAATGTTCTTTGAGGGGCTCCTGGGTGGCTCAGTCGGTTGAGCGTCCGACTTCAGCTCAGGTCATGGTCTCGCGGTCCATGAGTTCGAGCCCCGCGTCGGGCTCTGGGCTGACGGCTCGGAGCCTGGAGCCTGCTTCCGATTCTGTGTCTCCCTCTCTCTCTGCCCCTCCCCCTTTCATGCTCTGTCTCTCTCTGTCTCAAAAATAAATAAACATTAAAAAAAAAATTTTTTTTTAAATAAAAAAAAATGTTCTTTGAGGTACACGTGGGAAAATGGAGGGGTTGAAATGTTATCTAACTTGGCCAACTTAATTAAAAAAAAATTTTTTTTAATGTTTTATTTATTTTTGAGACAGGGAGAGACAGAGCATGAACAGGGGAGGGTCAGAGAGAGGGAGACACAGAATCTGAAACAGGCTCCAGGCTCTGAGCTGTCAGCACAGAGCCCAACGTGGGGCTCGAACTCACAGACTGCGAGATCATGACCTGAGCTGAAGTCGGCTGCTTAACCGACTGAGCCACCCAGGCGCCCCTTGGCCACCTTAATTAATCAGTAGTTAAATTCAGATCAAATTCTACCCATTAAAATTTTTTTTAATGTTTATTTACTTTTGAGAGAGAGAAAGAGAGAGAGAGAGCATGAGTGGGGGAGGTATACCTAGAGAGGGAGACACAGAAGCCAAAGCAGTCTCCAGGCTCTGAGCTGTCAGCACAGAACCGGATGCGGGACACGAACCCACAAACCACGGATCATGACCTGAGCCGAAGTCAGACACTTAATGGACTGAGCCACCCAGGCGCCCCTCCACCCATTTGAATCTCAAGCCCTAGCGCCCTAGCGTTCAACATTCCTCAGAAATCCTCCCCTTTAACCTTTATGATCATTAGAACAGTTGCAACCAGCCCGTCTCCTGTAGAGTCAAAGCAGGTAATGAGGTGGAGGGAGCATATAAGAAAGAAGAATCAATAAGTGCCCATACTTCCCTTGTTGTGGTTGTCAGAAGAGTTCAAGATTTGGCGTAAAACCATGCTGTGTGAAATGATGGCTCTAAGTTTTCTGTGTGTACAAAAATGTTTCTTTATGATGGAAGACTATCTTTTATGTTGCTTAAAATAAAATTTTAATTAAAAGATGTCACAGTGAGTATGTTACTATCTGTTCTCTACTTTGCAAAGTATACAGACCATTTTCTATAGGTGGAGAAAGCTATCTTATTTTTTTTTTAATTTTTTAAAGTTTATTTATTTTAGAGAGAGAGTGGGGGAAGGGCAGAGAGAGACAGAGACACAAAAATCTGAAACAGGCCTCAGGCTCCAACTTGTCAGCACAGAACCTGACAAACTCTGTCAGTACAGAACCCGACGCAGGGCTCAAACTCACAAACTGTGAGATCATGACCTGAGCCAAAGCCGAACGCTTCACTGACTGAGCCACCTGGGTGCCCCTAAAGCTATCTTAATGTGATTCTTTTTTTTCATGACATTTTATTCACAGTTGGACCTTATGTTTATTAGACTTCATTTTGCTTGTTTTTTTCTTCTTCACCTTCTAGGTAGAAAGTCTGGCATATTAGTTGTGAAAATTCTAGAGCTGCATGAGGAATGCACCATCCAAGTTGCTATGTGTGAGCAGTTAGCAGGGATGCAAGCCGACAGCTCATCTCTAGGTCAGGCCCCCAGGACTGGACTGAAGGTGCTGTTCACCAAGGAGACTGCTTGCCATCTCAGGGGACATCCCCAAGACATCATCCATATTTACCCTCCCTGGTGAGTAGAAAGAACTGATTGTAGCAGTCACTAACTGAGTTTGTCTCAAAATGTATTTTTATCATGAACATTTTTGTCACCTTATTATGGAGAAATACCAGGAGAAAGAAGCCAGGATTTGACATCAATTTTATGTAACAGAAGCACTGAACTGTCTTTGAATGCTTGTTTGTACTTTTGGCAGGAAATTTTTTATAATTTAAGGGCAGAGAGGCAAGGGAGAAACAATCATATCAATATTCCTCTCTAAGTGGTATATTAAGAAATATGGCTTTTTTTTCTTAGAAATTCAATTTTAGTAAGAGGCATTAATGTGACCGTATGATAATACACATTAATATTTCTTTGCTAGTCACTTTGAAAGGGATAAAAAGCATAAATTAAGACATAATAGGGTTTGAATCTTTAGGACATAAATGGTCATTAATGGGTCAGAAATATTTTTAAAGATACATGTTTGCTTTCTTTTCCATAGGGTGTTATTTTTTACTACAAGAAGAAGAAAATCATATTATTTTTGAGAGAATGTTTGAGCAGCCTTAAGAACTAACTATTAATTTTGTTGGCACATTTTTAAGAGTTTCATTCATCTGTCAAATTCTTAGGTTTGAAGTTGACTTACAGGTCTTTAAAGTAAAACTTCCTTCCCAGAGGAGGGATCTATTTTCACTGTGTCCATAGTGAGTTCTCAGTGTTTACTTAAATTCTTCCACAGTCTGTGGATATCATAGGGTAACCTACATTTTATTTTATTTCATTTTGCTTTGTTGTGTTTTTTTTTAATGTATCTTTTATTGAACAGTATAAGACACCTACAGTGTCATATACAAATTATAAGTATACATTTCTTCAAATAATCACAAAGTGACTATGTAATTGCTGTCCAGTCCAAGAAATAGAATACAGTGCACACCTGGGACCACCCCAGTCCCCTCTCATTTCCCCTCTTTTCCTCCTACACCAGTTGACTATCATCCTGATTTATGATGCAGTAGACTCCTTTAGATGTTTGAGAACTTCATATAAATAGAACCATACAGTAATCACAAAATATGCATTCTCTTTTGCCTGACTACTTTCACTTAATATTATGCTTGTGAGATTCATCAGTTTCCTTGGCATTTAACGGTTTGTCCATTTTTATTGCTAGACAGTATTCCATTGTATTAATTTATGCAATTATATCCATCTGTTCTTCTATTGACAGATAGTTAGGTGCCTTCAGTTTGAGGATATTGTGAATAACGTAATGGCCAACTGTCATTCTCTGCGGCTTACTCGAGAATATAATGCCCTTAATTCTCTTCTTTCTGAAATTTCTCATCATCCTAAAACCATGCCATTATTTTTCTACCATGTTAAAAAAATTTTTAATTAATCTTGACGGTACTGCCTCTTCCCACTGTGGCCAAATTGCCCCCCATTCTCCACCCAGCACTCCCCACACCACACCTCCGGCATCTGCAGCCACCTCCGCGCTGCTCCTCTCGTGGTTACTTGTGTGGCCATCATGTCTCCCTGTAGTACAGTGCTCACTCTTGCTCCTCCTCGTGCATTCCTCTGGCTTCTCAATACTAAAGTGCTACCAGACTCGTCCTGGACCTCTTCTCTTCCCTGTCTACCTCACTCACCCCTTTGGTCCTTCCATTTCATCTTTTGCTGTAAATACTAGCCGATCACTGACGCCTCTTAAAACTGTCTGCAGCCCACTCTCCACCTCCTCATCACAGCAGCATCCCACAGCCCCCTTACTGCCACAGCCATGGCTCTACTTGAGTACTGATGGCGTGGCAGAATCAAGCTCCTAACCCTCCCTCTTCTTCCTCACCCTTCCCCATCTCAGGACATGGAAACCACCTTCTTGAGTACATGCACATGTCCTCAACTCTTCTTTTTCTCGTAACCTCACTTCTGCAGCTCCACTTCCAAATGCACACGGGTCCAGGACTTCTTGCCACCTCTACTGTCAGGACATTTCCAGGTACTCATTCTCCTCTGGGTTGTTGCAGTCTCTTAACTCATCTCCCTGCTTCCTTCTTTGCCCTCCTTCTGTCTCTTTCAAGATGATTGAAGGAGCAAAGCTATGAATATGCAAGTTGTCATACCGCTTTTTGGCGCTCCATGCCCCAGTGTCTGCTCACCTCATGCACAAACCCATCCCGAGCTTTGAGGCCTCATCTCCCATCTCTGTCTCCTTCCGCAATTCCATCCTAGCCACAGTACACTCCACCCTGGTCCTCAGGTACCATGCAACTCTCCCCCTGGGGCCTGGATTCTTGCCACTGCCTGTGCTGGGGTGCTCTGTCCCACCCCTCCCTGTGTCTGCATGGTCTGCAGTTTTCTTATCTTCTCTGGGCATTTACTCAGCTGTCACCTTCTCAAGAGTCTTTCCCTAGGTTCCATATCTGAAATTGGAAAGTATCCCCTTCCAGGCCCTTTATTGTCCTTTTCCTACTTTATTTGTCCTTTACTGTCCTAGACAGTGCTCCTCCTGTCTAGGGCCTTGTGCCTGTAATTTCTTGTGTTCTTTTGACTGTTTTATTGGAAGTTCTTTTTGGAAGCTTATAGTAAAACTTAGTGATATTGAGAGTATTTGATTTTTACGGTGAATTCTAGTTTTATCTTCTTTATCAATATATATCAGTTTTTGTTTTTATTTATTGTATTTCAACAAAAATATGTATATTGCAACTATGCTGAGTTTATTACAGTGAGACACAGAAGATTCCAACATAGTTATGTTTGGAACTAAATTTAGAAACATTAGTAGACTCTGGATCCTAGCTTTTGCCCTTATAGCTTTTCTTTATTTTATTTATATATCTATTATTATTTTTAAATTTAATTTTGTTTTTTTTTAATTCCGGTATAATTAACACACCATGTTATATTAGTTTCAGGTGTGCAATATTGTGAGTCAACAATTCTGTACATTACTCAGTGCTCATCACAATAAGAGTACTCTCAAACCTCTTCATCTATTTCACCCATCACCACACCAACCTCCCCTCAGGTAACCACCAGTTCTCTACATTTAAGCGTCTGTTTTTGTTTGTCTTCTCTTTTTCTTTGTTCATTTGTTTCATTTCTTAAATTCGACATATGAGTGAAATCCTATGGTATTTATTTGTCTTTCTCCAACTGACTTATTTGGCTTAACATTATACCCTCTAGATCCATCCATGTTGTTGCACATGGCAAGATTTTATCGTTTGTATGGCTGAATGATACTCCATTATAGATATACACCACATCTTCTTTATCCATTCATCTATCAGTGGATACTCAGGCTGCTTCCATAATTTGGCTATTGTAAATACTGCTGCAGTAAACATGGGGGTGGCATGTATCTTTTTGAATTAGTGTTTTCATATTCTTTGGGTAAATGCCCAGTAGTGGAATTACCTGATCCCATGGTAATTCTGTTTTAATTTTTTGAGGAATCTCCATATTGTTTTCCACTGTGGCTGCACTAGTTTGCATTCCCACCATCAGTCAAAGAGGGTTCCCTTTTCTCCACATCCTCACCGACATCTGTTTCTTGTGTTGTTGGTGTTAGCCATTCTGACAGGTGAGACGGTTTGCATTTCTCTGATGGTTACATGAGCAATCTGTTCAAGTGTCTGTAAGCCATCTGTGTGTCTTCTTTGGAGAAATGTCTGTTCATGTCCTCTGCCTGGTTTTTAATTGGATTATTTGTTTTTATGGTGTTGAGTTGAATAAGCTCTTTATATATTTTGGATACTAACCCTTTATCCAATATGTCATTTGCAAATATCTTCTCCCATTCAGTAGATTGCCTTTTAGTTTTTTGACTGGTTACTTTGCTGTGCAGAGGATTTTTATTTTGATACACTCCTAATAGTTTTATTTTTGCTTTTGTTTCCCTTGCTTTGGGAGACATATCTTGAAAAATGTTACTATAGCTGATGTCAGAGAAATTATTCCCTGTGCTCTTTTCTAGGGTTTTTGTGAGTTCTAGTCTCACATTTAGTTCATTAATCCATTTGGAGTTTATTTTTGTGTATGTTGTAAGAAAGTGGTCTAGTTTCATTCTTCTGCATGTTGCTGTCCAGTTTTCCCAACACCATATGAGGAAAAAACTCTCTTTTTCCCATCGCATATTCTTGCCTCCTTTTTTTTGTAGACTAATTGACCACATAATCGTGGGTTCATTTTTGGGCTCTCTATTCTGTTTTATTCATTTACGTGTCTGTGTTTGTGCCAGTACCATACTGTTTTGATTTACTATAGTTTTATAGTATATCTTGAAATCTGGGATAGTGATACCTCCAGGTTGTTTTTTGTTTTTTGTTTTTTGTTTTTCAAGATTGCTTTGCTTATTAAAGGTCTTTTGTGGTTCCATATAAATTTTAGGATTATTTGTTCTAGTGCTGTGAAAAATGCTGTTGATATTTTGATAGGGATTGCCTTAAATCTGTAGATTGCTTTGGGTAGTATCGACAGTTTAACAATATGTGTTCTTCCAATCCATGAGCACAGAATATTTTCCACTTCTTTGTGTCATTTCAGTTTCTTTCATCAGTTTTCAGAGTATAGGTCATTCACCTCTTGGGTTAAAGTTTATTCCCAGGTATTTTATTCTTCTGGGTGCAATTGTAAATGGGATTGGTTTCTTAATTTCTCTTTCTGCTACTTTATTATTAATGCATAGAAATAAGATAGATTTCTGTATATTGATTTTGTATCCTGCAAGCTTACTGAATTTACTTATCAATTCTGGTCGTTTTTTGATGGAGTCTTTAAGGTTTTCCAAACATAGAATCATGCCATCTGCAAATAATGAATGTTTTAGTTCTTCCTTACCGATTTGGATGACCTTTACTTCTTTTTATTGTCTGATTACTGTGGCTAGGACTTCCAATACTATGTTGAATAAAAGTGGTGTGAGGACATGTTTCTCTTGATCCTGATCTTAAGGGAAACGCTTTCAGTTTTTCACCATTGAGTAGGATGTTAGCTCTGTGTTTTCAGATGAC